TTATTTAAAAAGTCAATCTATTTTTGTTTGCTGTGCAATCACATGTAGAAGCAGATACAGATACAGATTGAGATGCCCGTGTGCAGATACCAGATACACTCACACCGATTGGGGGGCAACTGGTTGAGGTTGAGATGCGCTCAAAAATGACTTCAATCCGTTCGGATTTCGCTTATAAATCGGCGGGGAATGGAACTCGCACGGATAGGGGCACGGGCACGGGTGCTATGAAATGTCCAAGATGGCCTTCGATGAATTTTTGCAGCGATTAAAAAGCGATGACGATGATGTCGCCGCTGCTGGTTTACTTAGCATTCAAAGTGGCGCAAAGAGATTTATACGAATTATTGCGACAATTTCAGCGTTTTTTCTCCTTATTTTTTTCCCTGCTCTTGACTCATTCAATTGAAATTCTTGAACAATGTTGTTATTGTTATTGTCTTTTAATGATGCTGTTGCCGGAATGCCTGAGTTGTGTTCATCTCGACGGTTGAGCTAGCCAACACTTTCAATGTCCAATCCGAGCTGACCTTTTGCCACGGATAGTTCTATATTGTATCTGTCGCTGCATCTGCATCAAAGTATCTGTTAACGTATCTGTTAACGTATCTGCAATTGTGTACATGGCTGACACAGTTTCAAGTTGCATTTAATTGTGCGGGGTTATGGGTTTTTAATAGATACATCTATCGCCACCACATGCTTCTTGGGTGCCAGCTAGATTTATGCTCGCCATGATTTATGCTCCTTGGGCACTTTGGAGATTCCCATAAAATTGATTTAAACGACCAACACTGAAGTGGACTTACCATTAGTTATATGCTAAGAAGCATATATCTGGGTATTCCTGATGGCTAAGCCTAAGACTACTCTTCGAAGGCTCTGTTTCAATCACAATTTTATATTCCAACTATAAACTGAAACTAACTTCAAATTAAATCAAATTATGTTGCACATTTATTTATTCACTTAAATATTTAAACTCTTTGAAAAGCTCTTTCTCGTCTATTGAAGTACATTGTAATTATGCCATTTCCAAGAAGTGTTGTAAGCTAATTAAGCTAAAATTTCAGGGAAGATCTATCTATCTATCTTTTGATTCCAAGAAATATATACTTTTCAACCTGAATGAGAATTCAATATTTCCCTATCCCTTGCCATGTCAAAAGTCACGTTCCTTGGGCGAATTACCCAAGATGCTGGTCTCCCACACTTATAATATTCGCTATTTTTTATACATATATACGATTTATTAATAATAAATAAACACACCTATTTTGTGAGGCAGCCAGAAACAATGACGCCGCCCAGAAGGCCCGACTGGGTTCCCAGATCAATATGAAATATCATTCCAAATATGGCCTTGGGTCATTTAGAAAGCAATTCATCGAAGACGCGGCTGAGGCTGAACTCTTCGATCTGCGAACAAAGAAAATAAAAATAGAAATAAAGGAAAAGATGCTGAATAAAAAACTACCGTGGGCTACTGCCAAAAATGCTACCGGGAAGAGTGAGCGCGATAAACATTCAAGATTAACCATTTTAACCATTGTCTTTGATGGCCCCAAACCAAATAAATCGGTGAACCAAAGCCAGAAAAACCAGCGGACAAAAAAGGCACATTAAGAAATTTGTAATTTGGGTTGGGTATTTCTTGACTTGGCCGGAGCGGTGATTTCTGGCTACATCTTCCCCGAAAAATTGCAGTTTTCTAATTGTTTTTCTTTTTGGCCCGACGAGAGGGAGACTTTCTGGCTGGGGCTCGTTAACAAATTTATTACAATAAAGTGGACGAAAAGAGGGGAGTCTCCTCCGAAGAGACTTGCCTGCACTCGTGCTTCTTCTTGGCCATTGCATAAGTTTGCTAATTTTTTTCGCTCGTTTTTCTTCTTCTTTTTATATAATATCGTTAATACATATTATTTGGCAAGCTTTGTTGGGGCTACCCATACACCGAACTCCTAACTCCGTACTCTATAGTCTGTACTTTGAACTGCGAACTCCCCATGGAGGCAGTGCCTCGTCTCGGGTTTCGTTTCGTTTGGTTGCCTGATCAATGAATGGACCTGGACCTGGACCTGGACATGTAGGCATCTGCCGAAATTGACGGACCAACGCAGGGGAATCGCTGTGCAGTGACCCAAAGAAATGGTAATGCGAGTCTCGGAGACGACTCCGCTCTTCGGCTGGGTCAAAATGGCCCCGGCCCGGCCACTCAGTCATTGAGTCAGTGGGTGCAACAGTCGCCGTTGCCGTGTGAAGATCTGTGAGAAGTATACAAATGGGTCTCGGGTTCAGTTCACTCAGTTACATTGAGAAAAATGCATAGTTCATGATAGGTTTCAGAAGATTTTATAGAAATTTCAATTGTATCATTTTAAATTAATATAAATACTTAAAAGGGATTTTAATTAGTAACAAACCAGTAGAATTCTTTACTCTCTATTCTACTCTCTATTTAAGTATAATTTTTATCATATTATATTTATTTTAAACAATTTTGATCGGCTTTCTTTCCTGTGCAGCCAAAGGAGTTTACTCATTTTGGTGCAGGTTTTTCTTGGCTGCAACTTGGCGGCTTCGATGGTATCGCCTTTGAAATCCACGACAGCGACAAAGCCAGACTCCATGGCCTAATAGACATGGAGGAGTCCCCAGACTGCAGTCTTTGGTCTCCCCCAATCTTCGGTCTTTGGTCCCCAGACCCCGTGAACCAGCCAACTTCCTGCAGTTCCCTAGTACCTTTGATGATGATGATGATGATTCGTCTGGGCCTTAGACTTTCACTATTAATTGTCGATTTTCATCAATTGTTGTTCATTGTTGTACTAACCATCTTTGTTGTTGTTGTTGTTGTTGCTTAATGGGTAATGGGGTTGGTATTTAAAGTTTTTTTTTGCAAAAAAAAAAAGTAACAAAAAACAGCGAAGAAGAGAAGAAAACCCAATTTCTGTTTCATATCGAAATTGGATCTATTACTCAATGGAGATGCGACCAAGTGAGAGACAATTTGATTGATTTATGCAATAGCCAGCCAGTCTGTGGACCTTTCCTCCATTGTCAGTTAATTGCTCAATGCAATAGAAGATACAGTTGTTATATCACCGGGCAATTTAGGGTTTACTTCAGGCATTTCTCATTTGCATTTCGGCTAGCATTTGACACGGTTTTTTTTCCCATCAAGATGGCATTCTAGGCAAAAACTGCGACTGACGATGCCGACAGACAGCGTTTTGAATATTTGTCACTGCCAAAAAGTAAACCCAAAATGGGGAGCGTCAATAGAACACACCAGTTATGTGAATATGGTTCTCAGTCGGAGTTTTTATACATATTTTTGCCAAAAAAGTGCAATGCTTAATCATCTAAGTGGCAAGCTATGCGTTTGGTTGTTTTTCTAAATATTTTGTTTGTTTTCTGGAAAAACTTGAAATTCTAGTCGAATCGGAAAATCGATTCTGAGATCTAATAGATGTTTAAATGATTTATGGGTGTTTTATGGGGAAAATATAATTGCTCCCAGCCACTACGAGAATCTTTACTTTATTTTTATAGCTTAAAGTGCCATGGCATCTTTAATTCCACTTAGTTTTTAATGCTTAATTCCCACCAAAAACATAATTTAATGTTTACCATGCACCTATCATGAATATATATGAATGGTATATATTTATATGTGTATTTATCTATACATCTTTCCATTATTTTTTTTTTTTTTATGACTGCCCTCTATGAACTGTGTCCACGTTTTTCTGTTTTGTTTTATGTTTTGTCCAAGACAACTGACACGACAGCCCCCTCAGACGCCGCCATAATAACAACAACTTCCAGCCAAATCATTTATTAATTTGTCAAATTCAAGCCAAGACACCACCACACGTTAGGAAATACAAAAAACCCAAAAAAAAATATATATAAAATCTTGTGGGCTATGATTATTATTTTCGTGTTGCCGCTTTTTAACTAATTCTCGCAGATAAAAAGTGTCAAAAGAGTCAGGCGGCCAGGAGTCAACTGAAGTTGCTGAAAAATCGCTGGAAAAAGATTAGCCACAAAATATATAGAGACAAACGGCTGATTAGCGAAATATGAGCATGTGTGAATAATAGTTTTGTTGAAATTTGACTGATTTAATTAATGGTTAATGGAAACTGCTGACAGTTCATGAGATTTTTTTAAAATTATGGGTGCTATAAGGGCGATTCGGATATTAATTTTATTTTAAATAAAATTTAGATTCATTTTCGTAAGTACATTATTCTGTAAGGAATGCCAACTCCAATTTCCTTTCAAAACAAAAGCTTAAATTATGCAAATTATGAAAAATGATTTCGCATCGCCTCAACGAACTTTAGCAGGCATTTTGCAATGCGAATGGCGGCGAATCCGCCAAAATATTTATTATAATCAAAAGCCGAACACCCGCAAGTTGGCCGAGGAGCCAGCCACAGGAACGTGCAGCATCGGACAACACAATTTATTACATTTTATGTGCCGCATTAACCGAACGATGGAGATGTGATCCTCGTTTAGGTTTTGTTTCTTGTTTTTTTTTTTTGTGATTTTTTGGTGGCTTCATCTCGGTTGCAACGTGAGCTCACCTCTTGGCCAACCCCGCCGCCGACACAATGAGGAGGTGCCTCTCGGCCGCCTCTGGGATTATCCACAATATCCACAAATATATCCATATATTTATTTATGTGGACAGCGGGCATGGGACTGAAGCTGAGCATTTCTAATTAAGACATTCGATACGGGGCTTGCGTGTGGAACGCGAGACAATTGGGCAACATTAGCACACGGCAGCGGCAGCAATATGAATCTGCTCGTATATATCTGATGCGGATTTTGGCATTTCACCAACCATTTAGCATTAAGCTCACCCTGGAGACGAGCCTCCATTTGGCATTCATGCCCGCTTGACTCTCTGCTTTTTTTATGCATATTCTAAATAGCTAAGCGCCCCTTACTTACGCTCTCCCCTTGAAATATCCTTGCAGGTGCAGCAGCAATAACAGCAGCAGCAGCAACATCAGTCAGCGAGCCGAGGAAAATTAAACTGCTGGGGAAATTGAAAGGCGAGAAAACAGACAGCAACGACAGCGACAGCGCGGCAGCAACAGTAGCTGCCACCACCGCGGCAACCTCTACGACACCAGCAGAAATTGCTGTAACAGCAGCAGCAACATCAGCAGCAGCAGCAGGAACAGGAGGAGCTGCGACAGCAACAGCCACTGCGACGACAGCAGCAGCAATCCAAACAACCAAAATCAGCCAAGTGAGGCTTAATAACCCAGCGACAACAAGCATGTTACTTTTGCAACCCAATGTAAGTTCAGTTTGGACACTGATTTAATAGGATATATATCTGTCTATATAATTATTATATTTATCCATTATAAATAAATTCCAAGCAATAACAGCATTTCTAGCATTACTTTTTAAAAGCGAATGCAAACATTATTGGATCTATGTCCCAAACAATGGCATCTTTCAAAATGCATATTAATTTGTTTGTATTAAAATTTCGAACCTCCCACTGAGATGTAGAAAAAATAAACCTTAACTAAAGTGAGGAAAAAACTATGCAAATTTCCCAAGCCGAAAACATGAATGGCAGTGCTAATTGGCAGCTGCAAAGTGTTGACTCCTTCTGAGTGGAGTCAAGGTGTTGCGGTGGTGAGGTGTGGATATCCATTCCACCAGCAATTAGACAGCTATTGTTGGATGAGTATAAATGTTTGGAAAACATTTTGACATAACCATAACCAATTAGGAAATCAGCAAAGAACAGTTTTCGCAGCCTTAGGGGTTGCTTTTCACACAAGAGCCAATGGGCGCTGCGGTGGGGAGTGCGCATGTCGCCTCGGAAGGCACTAGACTCCACCCTCAGGGCTAGGATATGCTAGGATTGCTAAGCAGGGCTAGGATACCTAGGCGAGAATGCTTCGAACAGGAACTCATTCGTCTCCGAACCGTCTGTCGTTGCAGAGCTCCTTTAGTTCGCTGTCGCCCTTCGATAATTTCTCCACGCAAACCGCTACGACGACCACGACCACGTCGGCAGCCGCAGCTGGACACCACCACCACCATCATCTCCTCCATCAGCATCACCAGCAGCAGCAGAATCATCTGCAGCAGCAGCAACAGCAGCAGCAGCAACTGGAACTGCAGCAGCAATTGCAACACCAGCAGCAGCATCAACTTGTGAGCCCGCAGCAACATTTGCTGAAGACGGAGTCGCTGCTCTCCCATGAGGAGGATCAGCTGATTAGCAACCTGACCGACTCGGCTGTGGCCCACAGCGAACTCTTCTCGGATCTCTTCTTCCCCTCGGACTCCAACAACTCCCTGCTCTCGCCGACCACCAGCGGCTATCCGGACAACCCCGCCGAGGACCTGACCAGCTCCATCGAGAACCTCACCAAGTTGACTTGCCTGCGCGACAAGCGCCTGTCCTCGATCCCGGAGCAGCAGCTAAGCTCGGAGCAGGAGCAGCAGCTTTGTCTGCTGAGTCTGCGTTCTAGCAGCGATCCGGCAATTGCTCTGCACGCCCAGCAGCAGCACCACCAACAACAACAGCAGCAGCAGCAACACCAGGAGCAGCAGCAGCAACTCCAGCTGATCTCGCCCATCGGTGGGCCCTTGTCCTGCGGCAGCAGCCTACCCAGCTTCCAGGAGACCTACTCCCTGAAGTACAACAGCAGCAGCGGGAGCAGCCCCCAGCAGGCCTCCGCCTCGGGCTCAACTAGCGCACCCTCCTCCACAACCGCTCCCACGCCCACGGATCAGGTGCTGACCCTCAAGATGGATGAGGACTGCTTTCCGCCGCTATCCGGCGGCTGGAGCGCCAGTCCGCCGGCACCCTCACAGCTCCAGCAACTGCACACTCTCCAGACCCAGTCGCAGTCGCAGTCCCAATCCCAGATGTCGCATCCCAATGGCAACAGCAGCAATAACAACAGCGGGGCCTACAATTACCATGGCCACTTCAACGCCATCAATGCCAGCGCCAATCTTTCGCCCAGCTCCTCGGCCAGTTCCTTGTACGAATACAATGGAGTCGGCGCCACCGATACCTTCTACGGACAGCAGCAGCAGCAGCAGAGCTACCAGCAACATGTGAGTAGCACTGAATCCTTAAACCTAATCCCTAAATTAGATTTTTCTATTTTCATAAAAAATGCAGCTTAAAAATAATTACTTAACTCCTTTAATTTATTTTTTAACCCTTTTAGAACTACACCTCGCACAATGGCGAGCGCTACTCGCTGCCCACTTTCCCCACGATTTCCGAGCTGGCGGCGGCCACAGCGGCCGTGGAAGCAGCAGCGGCTGCCACCATTTCCTCGGGCTCCTCGCCTTCGCTAGGCGGTACTCCGCCTGGTCGCCGGGCATCGCTGCCCGTGCAGCGAACCGTTTCGCCCGCCGGCTCCTCTGCCCAGAGTCCCAAGTTGGCCAAGATCACGCTTGGCCAGAGGCACACCCATGCCCACGCTCACCCGCTTCAGCTAAGCTCGGCCCCAAATTCGGCGGCCAGTTCGCCGGCTAGTGCGGATCTGCAGGCGGGCCGGCTCCTGCAGGCTCCATCGCAATTGTGCGCAGTTTGCGGGGACACGGCCGCCTGCCAGCACTACGGAGTGCGAACCTGTGAGGGATGCAAGGGCTTCTTCAAGCGGACGGTGCAGAAGGGCTCCAAGTACGTCTGCCTGGCGGACAAGAACTGCCCGGTGGACAAGAGGCGGCGAAACCGCTGCCAGTTCTGTCGGTTCCAGAAGTGTTTGGTCGTCGGCATGGTCAAGGAAGTGGTGCGAACTGATTCGCTGAAGGGACGCAGGGGACGACTGCCCTCGAAGCCAAAGTCTCCCCAGGAGTCGCCGCCTTCGCCGCCGATCTCGCTGATTACGGCCTTGGTGCGCAGCCATGTGGACACCACACCCGATCCCTCCTGCCTGGATTACACCCATTACGAGGAGCACACGATGAGCGAGGCAGACAAGGTGCAGCAGTTTTACCACCTGCTGACTAGCTCCGTGGACGTGATCAAGCAGTTTGCCGAGAAGATACCCGGCTACTTGGATCTCCTGCCCGAGGATCAGGAGCTGCTGTTCCAGAGTGCCTCTTTGGAGCTGTTTGTGCTGCGCCTGTCGTATCGCTCCAGGAGCGACGACACCAAGATGATCTTCTGCAACGGAACGGTGCTCCATCGCAGTCAGTGCCAGCGATCCTTCGGCGAATGGCTCAACGACATCATGGAGTTCAGCCACAGCCTGCACAACCTGGAGATCGACATCTCCGCCTTCGCCTGCCTCTGCGCCCTCACCCTTATCACAGGTGGGTAACCTCAAGATGCCAAATATTCATCGCATTTCAACTTGCTATCATCCAATGTCACATGAATATTCCTCATTTACCACAATTATTTATTGACTTATTTCCTTTTAAATCAATTCCCAGAACGCCATGGCCTGCGGGAGCCGAAGAAGGTGGAGCAGCTGCAGATGAAGATCATTGGCAGTCTGCGCGACCATGTCACCTACAATGCCGAGGCGCAGAAGAAGCAACACTACTTCAGCCGGCTGCTGGGGAAGCTGCCCGAGCTGCGCTCCCTCAGCGTCCAGGGATTGCAGCGCATCTTCTATCTCAAGCTGGAGGATCTGGTACCGGCCCCGGCTCTCATCGAGAATATGTTCGTCACTACATTGCCCTTCTAGGCGATCGAACATCACCAAGCGTATCATCACAACCTTGCTTCCTTGAACTAGCCCTAAGTTATGCCCCCTAAGATATAGTTTATAGTATATACAGGTAACCCCCAACTAGCTTTAGTAGAGCCCGAAATAAATAAAATCTCACTGAAACAAGAAAACCGAAATAAAACGCAGACCCAGGCCATATCTCTAGACATACAGTAGGGCTAGATAGGCAAGACAACACACACACCCCTCGGATAATTACGGACATGAATATTTAAGAGAGGGTTTCCGCTGCAAAATCAGCTCCTGCGTGACTCGTCAGGGCTGGAAATTACAACTTGTTGACGTTAATTGTTAAATTGTATCATTTCAACTGTCGAAATCAATGCGCACGCAATGGACACGGCGGCTTATACAATATCCCTCGGAAGCCCGGACTCTCAAAGCTTGCTCAAACCAGACGGACTCTCTTGCCTTTTTGCTAACTTCTAGTCAATTGTTTTTAGGAAAACAAAAGGAATAAATAAAGACAAGCATGCAGCCAATAGAGTTATATTATTTATACCTTAGATTAAACCAGGCAGTTCTCTTGATAAATAACCCGACACAGTTTCCACAAATCGGAGGAGGATAAGGATACCTTGACGAATAAATTGCCACTTCTTTTATCTCAGACTTTCCAAAGTAAAGCATGTATTTTCGAAATTACTTTTAGATCCCAATTCCAATTTGTGGAGCTCAACTATCATATCAAATAGCAATGCCATGCTTGCCGTTAGCCAGTATATATAGGCCCCCGCATATAGTTGATATCCCCGAACCCAAGAATTTCTGTTAGTTCGTAGACTAAGGCTCCTAATAGTTTAATCTCTGAATTTAGCCTAAGGACTATTCTGTTCGATTTACGATTATGCACCGACTAGTGCACACTGAGAGTTTAAGTACCTTTTTGTGATGATTGTGTCTGACACAGAGAGAGTTGCACACAAACACACAAGCTAGTGAGTAAGGTAGGATATAAGCACATAAAATATATATGAAATATTCTATAGAGTAAGCCCCAGTATTCGGTAATCCTATACACGTCTGTAAATCCATAGTTAGTACGTTCTAAACGAGAGAAACCTTTATTTAATCTGAAAACAAAACCAAGTTCTCAAAGAAACGCAAGATGATCGACGGACGGATCTATCTCTATCTCTATGTGTGTGTTATTTCGATAGAAAACCCCTCTATGTGATTTTGTGATAGATTGGCATTGAACTCTATATATATATATACATCTATATATGTATATATGTATGTCTATAATACGTATACACGCATAAATATATATTTTTATGTCCAACTTTTGTATGGTTTATTTTATATGTAGAACTTTTCTTTGATAACAAAACATGGCGAGAAAATAAATCGATCGTTAGATAGCAAATATTTCAAATGTATGCATGTTATGAGGAAATTTCAAAAGTACCAGCCTTTAGCCACTTTCCAATTAACGTTTGTATTAACGCAAGACATTTTCTAAGTGTAAAATTCAAGACTTCTATAACTAAATGTTTACAAACACAAGAAAAAACCAATGTGAATAACATATCTCTTCTAGCTTTCGAGTGCACGTAGAACAGAGACCCAAGTGTTACTATATCTATTTTAAATATATATCGGCATGCCTGGGCAGACGGGAGATGTTTAATAAATTTTTTCATTAACTATACAACTAGATAGATCATTATTAAATTATTGTACATGTAGCACATCCAATGTTCGACAACTAGATTTTGTACCGTCTTTAAGAAGAACTAGGCCAAGCTAATAGTATATGAAGATAAGAATATAAACCATGATCTTGCGGCTAAGCTGAAGCTAAACAAAAAAAAACCAACATGAATCGAATTAATGTGATGAGAGCCGATTTAAAGGGATTCTCATGGACTCCCGATGCCCTAACATACATATTTATTTTGGTATCAGATCAAAGTATCCCTAAATTCCTATTAACTGACATTATCTCAGATAATATTAAAGCATTCAGAGTTCAAGAGAATCTTTTCAAATTTATCTTTCATCAGTTAATCCGATCTGATCAGATATAAATCCTAAGCGAAACCATATAGAGCAATAATTCATAAGGACATGAAGCACCTTGAATAAACTATTAAAGCTAAAAACTAAGCCTAAGCTTGTAACGGTTAGGAGCGGGAATAAACAGGACAAAAAATAGGAACAGTTAGGTGACCAAAACAGTTTGAAACGGGACGAGACGTTAGATAGGTTCGGGTTCGAAACCCTCAAAGCGATGCCATTTTTTAGCCGTTACAAACAATGAATACATTGAATATCAATCATGCACATGAATATATATATTTAATATTATGAATATACTATATATATCTAGCTATAGTAACCTACTTTGTACCTACACAGCATGGAAACATCAGACCTACATACATACATATTTACACCATATATATATTTTGAATAGAGCGAAAACTTTTACAAGTTACGAGTAGTTACTTCTGGCGCAAAGCTATATAGCTGGATAAGGCCATACCGGAGCGAGCATATACATATACATATATTTTGGTTTAATGTTCTTTTGTAATTTTATAAATGCATACATAATAGACATAATAGATACTACTTACGTGAATGTCAAGTGTGTGGATTCATATTTTTGAGATACAGTTACAAATTGAAACATAAATATAGCAGATACAGAGTAAAATTTTTCGATGAAACGATTTTAAACGAGAGAACTTTTTAATATTGCTATGAAAAAGATATATACACATTAATATACATATATATTTTACTATGTAACAGTTAGTTTTAAGCTAGAGACAGCGCATAAAGCTTTATACGACGGAAAAGAAAACAGATTCAAGAAATTGGCACAAATTAAATTTACATAGCATTAACTAGAAGTTTTTCGAGACATAATGTTATATATGTATTCGTAAAGAAGCAGCCGATGTTATATCTTCAACACACACACAGCAGACCTAGCAAGTTAAGCTATATCCCAGACCCAGTTATGCGCCTACTACTAGCAATGAAAGTAAAGAAGAGAAAGAGGTGAAACCTAAAGACGCTATATGTATACACTAACATATATCTATCTGATAGATGATACCGATTATAGCTATATAGCCCGTTGTGTAATTTAACTCTAATTTGATCGTTTCATTTACCTGTTAAATAACCAAGCGGTACGCATACGAGAGATAAGCACACGAGTATATCCTGCAATTCACTTACCTATGCAATACACAATACCAAGCAAAGCGAATCATTTCATTTCGATTTTAATATAAATTTAATAAAGTTGTATAAGCCCAGACAAAACAACCAACTACGTTTTTTCTATCTGTCTTTTGAGCAAATTAGTTATACGAAAAACCAAACCGTATTTACATAAATGTATACAAAACAAATCGTATATTTTCATTGGTTTGAAATAAATACAGAAAATAATTTACTTGTCTTGGTTATTTCTGTGGCGGTGTGGATGAAGTCTTGAAGATAGTATTAGTATTAGTTATACGTTGTACACAATCTTATAGTTTAGAATTTGGTCGTTTATTTCACTTACTTTCCAAATTTACAAAGCCTTTACTGATAGTTTAAGGACCAGTCTGTTCTCCTAACATCACATTTTTGGCCTTTTAGAATTGAAACTATATTACCCCAGATATTACATTTATAAGTCATCTTATTTACTAAGTTCCAATTGGCAGTCTTAGGTACACTTACGTTCTATGTACAAAATATATTAATCCTCACAAGTAGACTGGGAGAAATGAGAGGATGTCGTTGCGGCAGACAGGACAGCGGTTTTCAAAGCGCAGCCGTAGCTGCTGGGAGCACTGCTTGCACAAGCAGAGGTGCCGGCAGGGCATGATGACGATGCTTCTGCTGCGCTCCATACAAATCACACAGACTCCTCCAGCGTTCACTGGTTCATTGCGCACGTTTTCAATGAAGCGCGTCAACTGCTGATCGGTCCAGAGGTATACGATCTGCGTCTTCGTTGAGATCTCGAAGCGGGCGCGCTCGAGCAGGTAGATGAGCATAAGGTAAACGTAACGTCGAAACATGTAGAGCACCAGGAGCAGCGTCAATCCTATGGAGAGCCGAAAAACAGTGTTCAGCAGGCTTAGGCCGCGCGCCACAATCGAGTGCATCACGAACTCCAGGACGCAGTCGAAGATGTGTGCGATGATCCTCGGCAGCAGCATCAACAGCCACAGTACGCAATTGCCAAGTTCGATGAGCAGATTGCAGAGGAACAGTCCCACGGACTGACATAGATCCCGGGCATTGCGCAGGCCGGAGGTAGCGCCTCCGTAAAAGTACTCACTCACACCCTGGGTGGTGTAGCACAGGTCGCAGTAGAGGCGATACACCTCGCTTGCGGCGCACCTAACCAAATTCCATGCTCGTGTGCTTCCCTCCACCAGGCAGTACCCGATAAAGTAGCTGACCCACAGGAAGTAATAGACGCCAGAGATCACCGCATCGATCACGCTGGTCAGTGGTCGTAGTAGGCGAGCACCCAGAAAGTCCACTACTACGTCTAGAACGTGAAGCATGGCGGTGGATGCATCTTTTTATTTAAAAAAGCAAAACAAACGAAAACAAATCAAATGCCGGTAGCGGCAGTGTGACCGTGCGAGGCTTGTTATTTAACAGCAGCCATCGAGCTATCGGTATCGCAATCGATTTATCGACTTAGTGCAAATGAAATTCAAATAAGGAACTTTAAAATTAGGTTTACTATTTACTATTAGATTTAGTCGCTAATTGATCTCCCAAAAATAATTATAAAATTATGTTTTATAAAGATTTATTGCCGACTTACAAGGTCAGACAAATACTTAATAGCTAAGCTCTTGAATCTCCAATCACATCTTAAGGCCTCCGTTTCCGATCCCTTTACCAATCCCCAGTTTGCTTAGCAAACTTATTATCTCGCTGTTGGTTCTCATTACAGCCATTACCTCCTGCTGCTGCTGCTGCATCACCCTCAGCCGATTCCTCTCCTCGATCTTGGCCAGCTGATTATTGTTGTTTATTGTCTTGGTGTCCACGTCCAGTTTTAGCTCCGATTTGATGTGATACAGTTCATCGCGAATACCGTTTAGCTTTCGCTCGCAATCTCGCACGTCCTTCTCCAAGATTTGCGTCTTGAGATAGACGGTCTGGGCCAATTTATACCAATCCGCCAGGCATTCGGCAATTTGAGCCACAGCGGGATTAACATTGTCCAGTAGTAACGCCTTGATGCGCTTGCCGTTGTGATCCACCTTGATCTTCTCCAGCGCATGAAACTGCTCATCGTTGTAGGTCAGGGTGCGAGTGGCGCGATCCCGGAGTAGATGCTGCCAGGAGTCTCTTAGCCGCTCCACAAGATACTTGGCCTGGGCGCTGGCTCTGGTCCGACACGGACATTTCTTGCCGTGCATAGAAGATGACCATTGATCGCTAAGGTAAATAATTATGTTGTGGTTTTAGAAAGGAATCAGAGTTTCCTATTCTGCGAAAAACTCACTTTAGTTCATCATCTGTCACAAAATGTTTGTGCAGTTGCGAGATCACATCGGCGGCTCCATCAAAATCGCTCTTGACGGTTTCCAAAGCACTCAGCAGGGCCTTCAGTTCCTGATCCCCTTTGGTCTAAGAGATCGAGGTTTTAAAAATATATCCTCTAGATTAGGAGCAAAACAAAACTCACCACTCTGGCCATGCTCTGAACCACATCTGCATAATCAATTACTGTGGAAAGCAGGTTTTCAAAGCTCTCAGTTTTCCTTTATAAACAAAAATATTTTATGAAATTAAAGTAAGACAGAAGGGTATTTAAACTCACTTTAAAAGAAGAGTAAGTGTGGTAATTAGCATCTCTACGAAGTGCTCCACGCCCTTCTTGATGAGTATATCCATTGACGTGAAGATGTCCACACGTCTCTTGCATTCGTGGCCCACACTGCACGCTGCCTTAGCCAGGCTGGCGTCATTCTCCACCGAAACATTTGGTGGAAATACGGGAAACTTTGGCAGATCCAATTGCTGCGGTAGCTGGACGTTGTTGTCGTCGTTGCTGTATAGGAATATTGGCTGTTCCGTGGTGGTGGCAGGGAATGCTTTAGCTATCGTTCGCGGAGTGACCTTCTTTTCGAGATGCTCGTTGTTGAACAGCAGGATTTGCTTCTCCAACGGCACCTCCGTCTGCAGGAAGATGCGCTCCCTGAAGTTGTCAATCTGCTCGTCGGGTTCAAGGAACACTTCCACGGAGCTTGTGCGATTGGTGTAGAACACATGGATGACGCGCTTGCGCAGGATAACAGTCACCTCCTGGAAGAACCGATCAAAAGACCAAGTCTTCTCTCGGTTCTCCTCGAGCAGTCCGGCCAGGAGAGGGGTCACCAGCGTTTTCAATCCCTGCGACAGATGAGCATGAGGTGGCAGGGTGGTTGACCACTCAATGGGCCCATTCTCGGACAGCTGAGTGCCGGAAATCACGCCAGAAGCCTTCTTGGTGGTGATCTGGTGCATGGTTTCACGGTTCTTTCGTCCCCCGAAGGGCCTAAAAGGCAGATTCCCGGTGGCCACGTGATACAGGGTAACTCCAATCGACCACAGGTCTACATTGGCAGTGAAAGAACGCTGTATGGACTTTCTAAGCACTGCTCGCTCGTAGAGATCTGGATGGAGGTACTCCTCAGTGCCGTACAGCGAAGCAAAGGGCTGATTATCCTCCAGTTCACGGGCAGCTCCAAAGTCTGTTAACTTATAGATAGTCTGCCCGTCCTCTGAGATAAACTTCATAATATTTCCTGGTTTGAGATCGCGATGCACCAGCTTGTTGTCTCGCAGATGCTTCATTCCGGCACACAGGTGCTCCAGCACCAGCAGGAACTCGTGCTCCGGCAGTCCATACGAGTTCTCCGGGTCGTCGAGGATGTTGAAGAGGCTGCCACCGGTGCAGAGCTCCATCACGATCACCTTGCCACGTCCCTCCTGGTCCTCCTCGATGGCCAGTAACTTCACTATGTTCTCGTGGTTGACCTTCTTGAGGGCCTCGAACTCCCGCATTTGCACATCCGCCGGACGCATGTGACTGTACGGATTGAAGGTCTTGACTGCCACCGATTCGCCGGTGATCTTGTTAACCCCCTATAGGATCGGTGAAAATGGAAAAGTGAGTCAGGCGGAAAACGTAGCCACAGCACTTTAGCCTTACCTGGAAAACGGAGCCCGTAGCTCCTTTCCCGAGCACGCTGGTTGTGCACCACACATAGCTCACGGAGCCTCGCAGGAAAGACATTTTTTCCCTTCTATTTTGCACTTAAATTAACTATTTCTGTATTATTTTGATTTTTGCGAATTGCTTGCATCGAAAACAAAAACAAGTGCAGTCGATCTATCGATACCACTGACCCGTGTAATCGATAGCAGAGTCATCTTAGCCATGACCGAAACCTATGTCTTAGGTCGATAGCCCGTCTATCGGAAAGAGTTCCATCTCCAGTTTTTTGTTATTTTAGGCGAGCGTTGACATTTTTGCAGCGCCTTTTAGTTTATTATTATTTTTAACTAAGAAATTATGAAGTTCAATACGAATTCGTGCTAGCCTTAATTGAAAATGCACTTTGGTGTTCTTATGTAGCCAATGACAACCGCGAACGTAGATCAATACATTCTGCAAGCACTGCAGACGTGCCTCGTCGGTTTGCGAAAAAGTAGTAATTAAGGATTAAGGCCGCGATTAAGTCTAGCGAGAGCAACTAAAACGATGCACATTCGACTGCATTTAGTGCGCTTTATGTACATAAATCTACTGCTGAGGTGAGTGGCCCAGATCTCGCACCAGAGGCCGGTGGTTCGTTCCGAAGAGTTTCTCTAAAAGGGGTTTTTCCGCATTTTTTCCTCTTGCAGCTGCTGTTTCTGGCTTTACGACAATGTGGCGGCAGCAGATGCGCAGGGAAGAGTCCAGGGAGACGCTGCTGGCGGCAGTGGTGATGGTGTTGTTGCAAATGGCGGCGGCTTCCACGGAAGTCCGGATGCAGCTGAAAAAAGGCACACAAATCCTCGAAGGACGGAGGCGCCACCAAAGCCAGAGCCACCGCCCGCGCCCCCTGACGAAAAAGTGCCCAAAAGTGCAACGGAAGACAGTGGAGAACCTATTGCCTCCACTGCGGAGTCCGAGACTGGCAGCCAGCCAAGAACTGGGGACACGTCAGTGCCTGTGCCTACGCCCCTGCCCGTGGAGAAACCCTCGCCTCCACATCGTGTAAATAGCCATAGTGAATATATTAGTGAATTTGATTTAGCGGCTAATGAAATGCCGTCGTCGCTTGACGAGGCAACGGACGCCTCCTCCCCATCCCCTAGCTCCACCGCCCAAGTGCCAAATAATCAATTAAATCATAATAATGGCAATAGTGCCGAGGAAGTGCATAGTGTTAGTGAATCGCAGCAATTAGAGGAACCAAAGCAGCAGAGGCAGCGGCCGCCGGAGGAACAGACGCAACAATCGCAGGAGCCCCCGCAAGGTCAACAGCAGGCGAAGGAAAGGTAAGTTATTGATCCACACTCGCGGACATTTGCTTGGGACTTTAACAAGGCTTTTCAAATGTTGTAGGCTAAACTCTGATAATATTTATATATATTAATGGTATTTTCATTTTAAAATTTTATTTTATTTTTATTGAAATTAATGAATATTAAAAACATGTATCTTTATTTGAGTTTAATTGCTTCCGTTCTCAACGATGCGAGATTGTACTTTATAAAATGTACATTAATAATTTGTTTAAAACTCTCTGCTGTTTTATTACGTTGAAGTGCACTTGACATTCGGTGGGACAGGGGTTTTAACTGATAAGTTCCCCTGACCCACTGACGTGCCTTTTTATTTGTGTTCCCATGTGAAGCATTTCCCGCTGGCGTAATTCGAGTTATCAATACGAAAGAATTTCCCAATTGACGTGACATATTACTTGAACATTAATTAATGAAGGGTTCCACTAAAAGATTGTTTTAAAAAATTACTTTTCAGTATAGGAAAAAAAAAAAAATGTAAGATAAGGTTGTTGGTCTTTGAGGGAGATAAGAAAGTGAAGGGTAACTTTGTTATGATATTTGATATTTGTTTACTTTCTTTGTTCTTTGTTCTTCACAAGCAGGAATTCCATATGTTTGCAATCGGTATTTTAAATTGGCTTTCTACTATATATCTACCAAAATATCAAGGATTTGTTTAAATCGCTGTTTATAGCATATTTCTGGTGATATTTTAGGTGCATTTTTCAATATATTATCTTACAAATTTTGTTATGATTTAATGATATTAATACTTCAAATAAATTTTACTAAAAAAAATCTAATTGCTTCAATTTATCTTAGGGCTCTCTGGTATCCATTCCATTCTCTTTTTCCTTTATTATTGCATACCAAACATAATATAATAAGTATCCTATGTCGATGAATTGGGTTAAGCGTGTAGGGTGTCGCAAGCATTCCATTGGCCTTCATCTACAACTTGAGCTCTTATCAGTAGCTATTTGGTTATTACTTATATAGGGGTTCTTATTTCCTCGACAAACCCTTATCAGCACAAACCGTGTTGGTTGTTGTTGTCACGTCTTGGGGATGTGGGCACGACCCAAGTTCGTTCACATGCTGTAGCCCATGAAAATCTGGACGAGATCAAAGATGCCTTTCACTCATTCACGCGCTGGCAAGGTCACCGCTAAATGTTTTGCTGGGGGTTTGCTTTTGTTAGCTAAAAATAGACCTGTCCAATTTAGTGATTATCGATGGGACATATGATATGGGCAAACCACCGGCTACGTGGCAGACGATTCATATTCGATTTTTCACAATTGTCAGACATTTCCCAGTGTGTTCTGTTTACTCATTTGCACGCGACATCAAGCGTTCGCTCTTAATCTTTGCCTCTGAAAATGCATTTACAATTGTTGATAATTGTTTTGTTCGCCGCAGGGTGTATATAGTATTACGAGTCCGCGTACATATGTATATATGAATTTATATGCATATGGGAGCTTATGCATTTGTTTACGTTTCATTGATAGAATTGTGGGTCTCCGCTACTTGATATTGATTAACTGCAGTGCAATTATTTACTTACTACGTAACTGTGGGTTATTTTTAGACATTTAACGGCGCCAAGCACGTACATTTACGTACGTAAGCTATCTTATCATAATTCCCATATTCATCAGTTTGGATTTATTTAATCTGCAGCATCATGGTTTGTTTGGTAATTATTTGAACATGTCATTGGAAGGTGTTAACTGATTGTTGCTATTTGCTTAAGTAATTATTTACTGGTGATAACTAACTTGTTTTTATTGTCACAAGGAATTTCTAGAATATTTAAGGCTTTCGAGAAAGTATTTTGTAGATATATATGTCGGAAATTGTGAAGTAAATTTATAGGGAAAAAACTTAGTAACTTCCAAATTAGGTAGTAAAAAGGTTTATTTATTTTCTTTAAATTGGATAAAATATTCCTAAATATTGAATATTTAAAATATATTTGTAAAATGATTACCTTGGTAACAAAAAATAAATTTCCTTTTAAACTTAGATCACACATTTTTGGATTATTAATTAAATAATCAATTAACATGCACATATTAATTAATTTTATTTTGAATAAGCTAGAAATCTCTAGAAATTTGGCCATTTTTGGTGCATTCATGGCCCGCGGCTTATTAGGTTTTAGCAGTTAAACGGACATGTGGTAAAATATTTTAAATAATAATTCATTCGGGGGCATTTCATAACCGGCGGCTAAACTATATGTGAATTATATACGAAACTGTCTCTGTCCAGACATGATCGCGCTGCAGCCATACCCGTATCCATACCCATACCCATACCCATTTCCATACCGATTCCAATCCGCAGTCGCAGCGTCGACGATCACCCACGCGTTGTCTTGTCACAATGCCTTTTGCCGGTAATTTGCTTTACAGTTTTTCAATTTATTTTCCCCCTCCGCTCGGCGTGAGTGTACTTTCTAAATGCCTCCTCCGTCAGTCAGTCTGGCTGGGCCTATCTGTTGCTGTTCCGCCGGCCGGCCGGTCATTTCATTCATCCCAAAAAAAAAAGCTTGAAAAAAAGCATGCTTCGGTTTACGATTCACAGGCTCTGTGGGTGCTACAAGTGGCACAGGAAAAACGTATAAAATGAAAGCTGATTAGTTAGTAAGACTTAACAATACCTGTTGTAAAGACTGTCATTCAACAAAACCACTTAGTAATTAATATACTCAACAAGACATAATTAAATAGGACATCATAAAATAATCATTATAAATTTGAAGCAAGTTATACAGATATGTCTACCAATATACCCCACTTCACACCACTAAAACGAGGTATCAAATCGCCAGACTAAACTTTTATTGGCAGATCCTTTAAAGGCTTCGTTGAGCATATTTCCATATCGCTAGCGACTCGATTTTATTGCGAGGCTATATCGAGGGTGGTAAAAGTGTTAAATGGGTTCGAATCAAAGCTGGCTTCGATTTGATGTCATGTTTGTGTCTGGCTGGCCCCGTAAATGGCTTTATCAGTACGAAATTTACTTTCATTTTTTGCATTTTCCTCGAACAATTTTCGCCAGCGCCTCCTGACAGACATAAATAAATTTTTCCAGCCGCGTCGGTAGCTCTGGGTAGCACGCAGCCGACAGAATCAAAATCCATTTGGCCTTCCAGACATTTCACACATTCGTTAGTGAGTGTGAGTGCTCGTAGTATCTGTATCTGGCAGGTGATCGGCGAGCGAATCTTTCGCCGGTCGGGGAATTACTTTCACTTTCGATGCAAAGGACTCTCCACCGTTGAGACTTTACAATTTGGGCTTTCATGATCTTGTTTAGCGTAATCAAACTTGGCAAAAAGCCATTATCATGTGTGTAACACATAGTAAAGCGCAGCTGCACGGGGAAAAATTATAAAAATGAATTTGATAATTGAGAAATCTTTCAAAAGATACGGAAAGAATTCTTGATAATATTGTATGACATTCTTATTCTTTATAGAGAGTATCTAAAGCTTTGGTAAAATCCTCTTCAAAGGATAAATTGATTAATAATAAGCATAATCTTCCCTTGTTTGAATGGCAACCTTTATTATTTTCAGTGTCTTGAAGACTGTGCCCACGACGGAATGGATTGTTCGCCGATTTTATCGCCTCGCCTCAAAGTCCGAATATTTAATTGATTGTGAGCGTGCGCCCATTGACTTTCGTCAATCAATTTCGATGGGTGATCGTTGATCGCTGATGCCTGGATGCTTGATCGCTGATCGGCAGGCGATCGTCGATTACTGATCTCGTTCAACTGCATTGATTAAGCCAGTGTCGTACGCCTTCACCTGTCTCTTTTGCCGGCATTCCTATCGCATTTTTTCGCTCTTTTTTCATTCATTTATTTAGACGCCTCTCTAATGAAAATCGGAAAACAAAAAAACCCTCTCTCGATTGAGAGAGACTGACGTGAAAAGCCGGTTATTGCCGGCATTTTTCTCTCATGTCTTGTTGCTCTTGCATTTGTTATTTGTTACTGATTATCTGGCGAAAAGGGGGTGAGCGAGGCCCAGACACAGACGTAGACGTGTAGACGTTTTGGCATCGTGCGGAGTGAAAAATGTTTGAGACGCGTAGGTGTCCAACTGGGAGGAAGGGGACGGGATCAGGCAGCAGCAGCTGCTGCTGCTGCGACTTTGAGTTATTATACACTTTTTGTTGTTAAACAAATTAATTTCAAATTCTTTAGTGAAAACCGAACAAACAGTTGTTTTTTGACTGCACTTTTGGGGGCGGCTGGGGAATTATTACATTTATTGTGGAATTTGTTGGTTAAATCTTAACAAGTGGTTACAGTAAAAGTTATACATATAGTTGTGTGGCTTTAAACAAAACTCCAAAGGTATTCAAATTATTCAATAAGGAAGTCAAAAATCTATTTATATTTATTATGTTTGTTATTGCTTCCTTTACCTTTAATAAATTTTATTGTAATTTCGATAAACAGCTTTATTCAGAGATACTACATCTGCATTTTGCATTACAAAATAAACATGTTAGCTAACTAAAATAAAGAAAAAACATAAAAATAAGCAATATCTTAACTACCGATCGAGGATCTTGGCATCACAATCTTTACACACAAAGTTCAATTGCTTTGGTGTGACCTAAACTCTGAACTGGAATCCACCCTCTGAGGCTTCCAAAAAAAATCCCACAAAAAATCCCCAGCTGCAATTGCAACTTTCTTTCGCAGCTTAGAGTACTCCTACTCCCCACCTACCCTCCCGATTTACCCTCTTACCGCCCACTCGCAAAGCTGAAGGCTCTGCCAATACTTCAACCACTTAGCAACTCGTGTGTGAGCTTAGTTTTGGCTGTACACTGTGTAAAAAAAACTATTTCAATTTAATTTAAGTAAATAATTGAATAAAACCTCAATAAAATATAATAATTTAATCACATTGCTTAAAACCTTTTAGATTAAATAATTTAACAATCATTGTACCA